CCCCCACAAGCACTCGAAGGCGCCCGTCGACATCCTGCCCGCCCACGACGCGGCGGCGCCCAAGCTGCCAGCCCACAGGGGCCTCACGACGCTGCCCAACGGCGACGTGACGCTGCGGCGCGGCCTCAGGAACCCGTTCTCGACGCTCATGAAGGGCGGCACGCGGGAGTGGCGCGTGCGCAGCGTGGAGGACGTGCTGGAGGCCGAGGGCGGCGACTACGGCTTCCTGGAGTACTACTCCCTCAGGAGGACGTCGTCTAGGGACACGGCGCTGACCGACCCGCGCGCGGCGCTCTCCTACGGCACGTGGAGCCACCTCAACTCCGCGTGGGCGCGCTGGCCGGACGCCGCGCCCGCGCAGTTCTACCCGGGCACGCTCGGCCGCGCGGACAAGGACCAGCGCCGCCTGTGCGAGCACCGCCACCGCGCAGCTTACCACCTGGAGGAGCCGTGGCGCCCGGAGGACATGCGGACGTCCACGCCGCTCTCGTCCACCACGTCCTCCACGCACGACGGGCCCCCGGCGCCGCTCGCGCACCAGCAGAGCCAGCAGGACGCCCCGCAGGAGGGCCCGCAGGAGGGCGGGCGGAGGGAGGGCAACCGGCGCGGCGTCGTCAAGAGGAACTCGCTGCTGTGGCGGCTGCGCCCCGAGCGCTGGCGGACGGACGGGTCGCTGCGCCGCGCCCGCAGCCGCGACGACGGCCTCGCCGCCGCCCGCGAGCGGCGCAAGGGCGACTTGGGGGCGTCGCAGCCGGACCTGCTGACGTCACACCGCGCGCCCGACGACGGCGGGCAGTGCGACGTGGTGTCGCCGGCGCCCCTGTCCATCCTGCCGCCCACCACGCGTCGGGCCGCCCAGAGCGAGACACTCCCCCGCAAAATCCGCCACAATAGCAAGGACGCCCACGCCGCCCACACCCTGCTGGCGCGCGGGCGGCGGTGGCTGCACAGCGCCAGCCTGGGCCGCGCGGACCGCAACACGGACCGGGGCGAGTCCGAGATCATGGTTCAGCCGGAGACGCTGCCGACGCGGCCCGCCCTCGACGACGCCGACCACCAGAACAGCGACAAGAACAACAACAACACCAACAACAACACCGGCCTGCCGCTCAGCGCCCGCAAGATGAACGCCAAGAACCGGCTGGTGGCGGCCGAGGTCTACGGCAGCCTGGGCCGCGGCGGCGTCGAGGCCGAGTGGTGGCGCCAGGGCCGCGACCGCTCGCGGCGCCCGCGCACCTTCTACCTCCTGGAGGACTACCTGTCCCCCGTGCGAGCCGCAGGGGGCGTCGCGCCCGCTGGAGTCGTCCTCGACGAGTACGTTGGCCGCGCCCCACGCCTCGTCTTCAGGGAGACGTCCCACGAGGCGCCGCAGCGCCCCGTGCCGCCCACACCCGAGTGGGACACGCCCTCGCTCTCGCCGCCGCCCTCCAGCGTGGTCAGCGGGCAGCAGCCCACGCCCGCGCCGCCCACCGCGCACCAGCACCCCGCCCTGCCCGGCGGGCGCAGCCTCTTCGTGGACGCCATCATCCCGTCGCCCGAGAAGAGCTGCGGCTCCAGCGTGTACTCGCCGGTGTTCTCGCCGCGGGACTCGGGCTACCCGCGCTTCGTCACGCCCGAGCTGGCCCTGCCCGAGCTGTCCGTGCCCGAGCGCGCCCCGCCGCCGTGACGGGCCTGCCCCGCCCCCGCACTGCCACTACTCGCACAGCCACAGCCTCGCCAACAACCGCGCAGCCTGGAGCTCGACGAGCGGAAGCGCACCAAGGAGTCCCGCAAGGTAGGCGCATGCGCAGGGGCGCAGGGGACGGCGTGGAGATGCCTTCTTTCCTAACTTCTGCTTGCTGTATCTTTGGGATTCATTTACCTTTAGGTGTTTTATCTGCAAAGGCCAAATTTTCATGGCAAGGGAAAAGAGCTGATATATTGGAGATTATCGCTAAGAGTGTCTCTATACGCCCTCTATGAGAAGAAAAAGAAAGAAAAAAAAAGAATAGTATCATACACAGGAAAATTATTACACGAAAGGTCGAAAGTAGAATATTTACTTTTTGTTGAGGAACCCCTAAAAAGGTTTGTTTTCTCTGATTCCTTCGGCGGTGTAGATTAGGTTCTTTTAGAGGGGTGACTTAGGATTTCTGTAAACACAATCTGTAAAAGCATTTGCATGTATACGGTGGTGTATATGTGTGAGTGTATATGCGCATACACACGGATTGTACGGGCAAACACATATATATGTACATAGAGACACACTCAGACACGTACACATACATACGCTTATGTGTACTCACGCGTACACGTACACGAACACATACACGAAACACGTACACTTACAATCACATATGCACGAGCACACACACGGACACACGGACACACACACACATACATACTTACATACACACACATACATACTTACATACACACACATGCACATACACACACACACACATACACATACACACACATACACATACACCACACATACACATACACACACATACAC